ACTGAGAGAAATGGTTCTATGTAACAGAGCACGTGCTAGACTAACTTAGACCTTGCAGGATGGTTGAAACATTTTTCAATCCTGAGTGTCTTGCAGTCATGTGAATATAAGGAAAAGCTCTAAATGCTTAAAATGTACATGCAGGTGGAGAAGGACTCCGATAAATATTACTTGCGTTCCTTCTATTTTCCCAGAATTTGTTCTCCATCCAGTTATGAGACATATTTTGTTAGCTTTCCCTATTTTGCTGGTACCAACAGCTCTGACACATCCATCATTAGGGAGAGTGAGGTGGGACCCATCAGTATACTCTTCCCATGTTTTCATGCACTGTGAAAGATCATATAGATCAAGGAGTGCTGGCATTTCCATTTATCCCCTGGTCTGTGTACAGCCTATTCAAGGAACTGTATTCACCATTGAGATGGTGGTGTTTAAACCTTAGAAAGATTTATATCAAGGTGAAACAGTTTGGGATGTGAGTAGAGGCTGTGTCAAATTCATGGATAAGCTTCCTGCTGGATATTGGTAATGATATTAGTTCGGAAGTTGTGAACAAAAATGCTTTCTATTCAGGGAAACAAACTCCACAGCTTGCCAATTTGAAAGTTTCTGAGCCTGACTTCCATGACACAAGTCCTGATTGGAATCAGAGTGGGTGGAGATGGGGCAAGAAAAGATCCTTGTTGTCTAATTTAGGTGCTGAATGCAAAATATTTATTTCCCCCTTTCTGAGCCTAAAGTTAGAGGTGTCTGATATCTACCTTAGTGCTTCATTGCCTTGTCCCGGTCAGTTGTGGCATTCATTTGGTGGAGAAAGTCCATACATTCCAATAAATCTTAATTATTTATGCATTACAGATCCTTTTGGAAAAACTATGAGAGATCCTCTTCATAGCAGATGTTGGACACCATAATTATCAGACTGGTGATAACCTGAGCTGGAGGGAGCATATCTGTGTGTGTGTCTCGCTTTTTCCCACCATCTTTTAATTTTTCTCCATTTCTTCAAGGTTTTAAGATCATTTAAATTACTGTGAACACAGAGAAGAAATCATGTGTGTTAATGTACCCTTTTTATGGGGAGTTAGGCAGGAGCAGGACTAGGAGGAGGTAATCTTCAGAGGAGCCTCAAGTACAAAGTTTCTATTGCAAAGAATTTACTAGTGATAAAGTGCAGATATTGGCAGAAGTTGTGTCTGTGCAGATGAAACTTTTTTTTTGACCTGCTTTCTCTATTTGTAGAATAAATCTGATAAGAAAAATAAAGCTGTAATCAGCAAAGATTTTATCTCACTGAGAAGATTTTATCCAACAGAAAAACAAAATGTTATGCCTGGGCATATTATTTTTGGTTTTCATGAAAAACAGCAAAATCTGACCCACAGTCCTAAGAATTTATTTTGAAAAGAACTACTGAGCATATCAGATGTATGCAACTTTTTTCTTCCCCCTTCTATCATTTCTTTCACAGGCAGAGTTCGGTTTACAGATGCATCTTGACAAAAATCTTCTACAAGCAAATTTCAACAAAAGAGCCATTTCAAACACATCCAATTAACAATTCATGAAAGGAAATCCAACACAAAATTACACAGAGATTTGCAGGTCATAAAATTTGGCACTAAATCAAATTTTACATGGAAATGCCTGTATATGAAGCTAAGGCCTCTTATAGTGTATTTTCCAAAGAAGCTTTATCTGTGGAGACTCAGTTGCGTGCCCTCCATCAAATCTATTCTTGCCTTAAATATATATATATTTTTTTCATATACAGCAATGAGCAGTATCTAATAGTCCACTGATAAATTCAGTTATATGCCTTCATAATCAAAAGTTTTAAAAATCACTAGAATTCTTCATCCTTTCAAATACAAAGTCAAAGAAAATCTCAGACCCCACGCATCCACGGTTCTGGGTTCAGAGTCACTGATCTCTACAGTTGTGGTTGGATTTTCTTGAAAATTTTTAAAAGGTTACAAAATCTTGTAATTGTCTTCAGAAGCTCTGAAGTAATATAAATTTAAAGAAGAATGTTTGTCTCTGGACCATTAGACACCTGAATAGCTAACTTTTTGAAGAAATGACTAAACGACATCACTAGCATTGCAGGAGTTGTGTTAGGGCTTTTTGTTTATTGTTATTTATTTACCAAAAGTGGAGATCACAGATAGGAGCTGACAGGTGTCAAGACAAAAGTGTACTTATGCTACAACCGTGGTGTTATGCAGACTAATGTCATCTGAGGACTGGCTCACATTTTAATCCTGTTATATCGGCACACTATGGGAAGCATTTAATAACTCGAAAATTGCTACCTTTTCCTGGAATCCATATCTGGGTGGGAAAACATGGATTTAGGTATCCATTCATGTACACTTAGTTCCATGGTAATGCATCATTCATGTGAGCTACTAAAAAGACCTGATTAAATCACTCTTTTTCAGCATCTTCAAAGGCTGGACACGTGGACCCTATATGGCCTTGTGCTAGTGTATGTCCTGTTTTGCCCACTCATGGCATGGAGACCTCTGTCACCATAAATGAAGCATCAGAATGCCTCTTTTTTTTTTTTTCTTGAGTCTATTAATATATACTTTAGACAGTGAAGCACTTTACCAGAAAACTTAGCGTCCAAAGCAAATATTAATTGGTGAATAAAGCATTCCTGACCCTATATGGCCTTGTGCTAGTGTATGTCCTGTTTTGCCCACTCATGGCATGGAGACCTCTGTCACCATAAATGAAGCATCAGAATGCCTCTTTTTTTTTTTTTCTTGAGTCTATTAATATATACTTTAGACAGTGAAGCACTTTACCAGAAAACTTAGCGTCCAAAGCAAATATTAATTGGTGAATAAAGCATTCCTGAACATTCATAGAATCATAGAATGCTTAAGGTTGGAAGGGACCTCTAGAGGTCATCTAGTCCAACCCCCCTGCACACGCAAGGTCACCTAGAGCACGTGGCACAGGACTGCATCCAAATGGGTTTTGAAGATCTCCAGAGAAGGAGACTCCACAACCTCTCTGGGCAGCCTGTTCCAGTGCTCTGTCACCCTCACTGTCAAGAAATTTGTCCTTAAGTTCCTGTGGAACTTTTGATGCTTCAGTTTCTGGACGTTTCCTCTAGTTCTGTCAGTGGCCACCACTGAAAAGAGGCCAGCACCATCCTCCTCACTCCCTCCCTTTAGTTACTTATATAAACTGATTAGATC